AGAGACACTCAAACACCCAGAGAAGAACTTTTCAGAGAAGGCTTTTGTACTTCTTCCATGTTCCTACACTTCTCCATGGAACCAGCATGTCTCCTTGACTCTTGCTTTCTCTCCCAAGCCCACAGTCTCTGGGTTTCTCTTGTAACTTACCAGCACTGTATTCTTTCTTTACTTACCCTGGTTGGTCCTTCCCCTTCCAGATGAAGTAGGGTTGTGCCTTAAAGCAAACCACAGCATCCCATTAAAATGTGACTTGATGAGGCCGAGCAAGAGCCCAAAGCTGCCCAAGCAGCTGCTTTTCCCACTGCCTTTCTGAGCACCAGCTGGAATGGATAACACCTTCATTGTTCTTTCCCCTTTCAAGAGCTCCATGGGGATGGGTGCATCGAGAGCTGCCCCAGTCCCAAAGGTGGCCACGAGAGCCTTGTGCAAAGTGGATGTTAGAGCAGAAGTGGAGAAAATGTTTTTATCAGGTTTTACATCAGCAAAAGTCACATCAACTAATTTCCTTGCTGCCTCTGCACCTTCCCAGCCCAGGTCCCCCCTGAAGAGGTTCAGACCTGCCTCATTTCTCTGTGCACAGCACTCACAGCTGGGGGATTTGGCTGCCAGTGGAGCCCCAGAACCAGGCTGGTGGCTGTTGGGAACAATGGCATTGTTGCCACAGGAATAAACATCCTGGTGGCTCGTTGGTGTTTATCTGTATCCCCATTCTCTGCTGATTAACCCAGCCAAGCGAGGTCTTCATGTGGTAATTACAGCACAGCTCATTTGTGTGTGTTTTACAATGGTGTTGATATAATCCCACTAGAGCACCCCAACCATGTGCAAGGAGTTCCCACCAGAAATCCAAATAACGCCCCAGTGCTGCTGACAGCTTAATAACATGACAAAGTTCAGTCCCGCTGGATGTCAGGGACAGGAATGCGGCTCAGGCTGCTCTGACCTGCAGCTTTCCAAACACCGTACAGTTGGGGCTGAGCGTTTGACAAATAACCTTTTCTTTGCCTGCTCATATCCATCAGGCGTTACCAGGTGCCACAGAGAGGCCACATGCCACTGTTAAAATGTTAAATTGAGTGGCACGGCCATCAGAAGCTCTGGGGAGGGACATTTATCTTTATTATTATTGTTATTAATAATGCAGATATTGCTGCACGTCGCATTCCAAGGTATTTTTGCAGCACTAAATCATCCAAATGCCCATTGACGGCCCTGATAAATCACACAATAAACCAAAATTCAATACAGCTGTCAGCCCAGGCCCCGAGCAAATCGCAGGGAGCTCAATTGTGAAGTTTAAGCAGGGACTGTGTGCAGTGGGACGGGAGCAGTGTGGCATGCACTGATGGCATTGGGAAAGGGATGGCTGCTCATGATGGCATTTCTCATTGTTTTCCTCTTTCTGCTTACTTTTTTTCTTTTTTTTCCACTGTTTCCTTACTTCTTCCTTAAACCTTTTCTCCCTGTCCGCATCGCTTCTTCTTCTGCTCCTCTCCTTCCCTCCCATCCCGTCTCTGTCCTCCACCACTTGACTTCCAACTCACCATCCCCTTTCTCTCTCTCTCTCTCTTCTGCCCCTCCCCATCAAAGAAAGGAAACCGTAACCCAAAGGAAGAACAAGAATTGAACCGATGCCAATGCAATGGGCCAAGAGGCTACATATGGAACCAGCAAATCACAGAGCCATGAAGGATGTTAGTGATTTAAAGTTATGTATATTGAAGTCTGGATCTTAAAATGAATCCATAATGGTAGAGGTAACTAATGGGGAGACTTAACTGACAGCAAGCAGAATTTTTTCTTTAACGTCGTTACGTTCCCACAAACTCCTCTTTTCCGGTCCCCACCCTTCCCGTGCTCCCCTTTCTGATTAGTTCAATGCTGACAGTGAAAAGCTAAAGCTGCTGCTTGATGAATAAAGAACTGAAGCCCATACACCGTAAATAGGAGTGCTCCCTGGGCTGCATGCAGAGAGGGGCATCCCATGGGCCGTTCTGGGGAGCTGTACCCTGTGGCAAGGGATGACTGATGTTCCTGCCTGAATGAATACAGCAGCATGAGTCCCGCTGTGATACGAGGTACCTCCCCCCCAGGATGAGTGGCAAGAAGCAGCTGGTCCCCCTCACACACCAAATGCACCAGTTGTCTGTGAGCACTGCAGATATCCTGAGTTAAAATGCTGCTCTGAGCTACGTGTGTGGATAGATGCACGTTTGGGTACATGTGCATACAAAATATTATATATTGGAAAAAAAACCAAACAAACTACACACGACATTCACCATAGTTGCAAAGTCAAACACTCCAATGATGGGAAAGGGGAAATATTGTTCATTTGACCTGAATTTGCTACTTTATATAGATGAGCATCCTGGTGGCCCCACGACATGAGGTGGCACCATGCACAGTGCAGAGGCACTGAGCACCCCCTGCTGCACCTGAAGGCAGTGGGAACTGCCAAATACTTGCCTCTGCTACTTAGTGTATATTCATACACACCCTTCCAAGCTCATCTGTGCCCACTCATCCAGAGATTGTTCCTTACAAGCAGCCATCCAGTTTAAGAAGGAGCACCCACAGCTCTGGGCAGCAGTGCCAGGGCTTCCCATTAGGATTTCTCCCTAATGTCTAATCTAAACCTGTCCACCCGTCTTCTTCATTTAAAACCCTTGCCCAGTGTAAGTGAAGCACTTGCCAACAATGCTGCTGTAGAAAACACGACTCCAGGACTGTTTGGAAGATCTTCTGGGCTGAGTGTTAAGGGATAAAGAAGGTTCAGGACCACACATTGCCAAGCAAAGAAATGGCATTGCAGTTTTCCTATGCTGGGGGAACTAGAACTATTAGAACTACCCCCTCATTCTCTCTGCTTTTATTTTTTTTTCTTTTTTTTCTTTTTTTTCAATATAGGGCTTTCCACACTACTGCACCTTCTTCCCTATGGCACGAAATTCCCTTTTGCTTTCCGCACTGCTTATCTAAAGCAATGCTTAAACAGATGAAAGACCCCGCAGTGTGGATACATTGCAGGGCTGTGTCTCCCTCCAGCTGCAGAAGAGCAGAGTGGGAACGTCTCAGGACGCAGAGAAAACCAGCCTGGAAACATCACCACGCTGCAGGGTTTTCCTTTTCCTCCATGCTTCCCTGGGGAAAGCCTAGATGCTGTTAGCGGTGTCTGAATACTGGCCAGATTATGGGGCATGTGGGTAGAGCCTATATTTATTTTTTTAGAAGTATATATTTGTTTGATGTTTTGCAAGCATCTGCTTAAGATTTCTGTGCTTATCTAACGGGAGGAAAGAGCCCATTCTTCCCAAAGCCAATTCAGTGCAAGAAAAAGTCGTAACGCCGCTGGGCCCCTTTGTTTCATCCTTCGCCAGAGGGACTCCATGATTCCTTTGCTGCTCCTCGGAGAGCCAAGAGCGGTGGCTGGCGATTAAAGGCATCTGCGGGGCTCACGAGAGGGAAGGCATGCAGGAGATGAAGAATGGATGGCACCTGAAAGGCCTAAACACTTGGCTGGCGCAGTCTGGGCTGATAGCAGCACGTCTGATGGGATGTGCAGGGTAGTACAGCAGGTATGGAGGTGAAATAAAGAGAAAACAAATGAACTGCTTGCTGACAAAGCTCCCTCCAGCCCTCCCCTGGGGGAAGAGGTGCCAGCAGCTCCGTGGAGCCACTAAGGAGGGATTAGTTGGGTAAGGAGCAACTCAACGACTGAATGACCAAAAAATGACCAGTAGAACGGTGAGGCTGCTGGGGAAATAGAGGAAGCTTCAGTTTGTGCAGAGGAGATGCATAAGGAATGAAATGAATAAGACAGGAAAAGTAAAGAGTGGACAAGCTTTTGTGCCTGCTCAGTACGACAGACCCCAGGAGCCTCATCAGCCTTCGGTGCTGGTCATCCTCAGAGATGAACTCTTTGTGCAAACGCAATGAGCCGAGGAGCAACATCACACCAACACTCACGAGCGTGGGCTTGGAAATACGTTCTCATTTTCATATCACTGCAAGAGAGATGTGGCCAACAGGGTCTGATGCCTAGGAAAAAACGTTGAAATATCAACCAGGAGGAATCCAACACATTCCCTTCTCATTTTAGCTGCTGCATTATGAGCCCTTGTTGTTTCAGGCGGATGGTGACTGCCTGCTGCTTGCTCCGGGAGACTCAGATGTCTCTAATGCCTCTCTGGAAGTGGTTTGCTTTGGGGAAGCTAAATTCAAAACGCTGTGCTGCAATAAAATTTGTAATACTACACATTTGTGCATCACACCACCAGACCGGCAGTCTGGAGCTGCGCCACCCAGCCCTTCCTCGGCTGTGTCCAACCTCTCACAGCAAGAGCAACAGAAGCAATATAAGAAGCAACATATGAGATAAGGCAAGTGAAAACACACTCCATCATCTGGGCTCCGTCCCAGCCCAGGTATTTAGGAACGTCTTAACCTGAGGATTCCACCCAAACTATCATGTTTAACAACTTTAATGGTCTGTTTTTCAGAACGTTATCGTATCCCTATTTGAACCCCACGTTCATTCTGCTCTGCAAAGTTTCTGCTGCTAAAGGGCTCCAAAGCTCAATTGCACTTTGAAAATGGTATTTCTCCTTGTTTGCTTTAGACTTGCTGCAGGATTACTTCATCAGGAAACCCTACCCTATGAAATGAGAAAAACTGAGCAATAACGGCCCATCTCACTCCCTCCTCTATTTGACAGAGCTGTATTATAACCCCATCAGCTCTCAGACCTGCTGTGCTGTGCTTGGGCACTGCCCCGGAGCTGTACAATCCGCATGGCACCCATGCTCATACCTGCTCCTACTTCTGCTGACATCCCTCCAGCTCACTGTCCTTCCTTTCTACTCCACCCAAGTTCCACAGGTGAGTACAGCTGTGGGCACGCTTTCTCTCTGCAGCCACTCCTAGAGCCAACAGAACGTTTCTGGTTAATAAAACCAACAGTTAACAATTTAAACAAAAGCCCAGGAATAACCCAATGAGAAAATAAACCACTTTTATTCAAATTACCAAGTGTTAATCACTCCCGGAATATCGGACTATAAACAGCTCCAATTCAGGAAGGTGGATTTCTGCAATTAACACGTACTCATTTGAAGGCTACAAAAGAAATATTTGCTTGTTTAGGCTTACAATGAAATAATAAGCAGATACTTTTCAATTTAATCTTAAAAATTAAACAGTTTCTTCAATAATAAAATATACTCCCTATGATACAAAAAGGACATTGACTTTATTCACAGGTGACAGTGCAGCCACGCAATCATTATGCTAAAGGCAATCTCAATGACATTTTAATTACATTATTCCTATGATATGTTCTGAGTGTTAGAGCAGCACACGAAGCCTCTAATCAGACCCCTGCCACGCTAGGAGCCGTACATACGGAGAGGAAATGCAGAGTTCTACTGCACAGGGTACAGTCTGATCTAAAATTCTCCCTTAGGAGTGCCTCTGTGGAAAAGGAGGGGTATGAGAAGGGATGGATTACCTGCCTGACCTGATGGAGACCCTCACATGCACAGTCACTTTCCACAGCCAACCACTATCAAAGAGTTGTTTACAAACAGATGACTTTGAAGCTCACCAGATCCGACTTAAGAATCAGTCTTTAGGAGCCCCTGATTTTGCTTTCCCCCAGCAGACTGGCAGACCCAACAACAATGAGGTGTTTCTGAGACTAATGGCATTTTGGTGGAAGAAATCCAGCCCTTAAGATGGGTCTGGGCTGATAGCTAAGAATTGGAGTGTCTTTGAGTTACTTTTTGTCTGTGCTGTGTCCTGAGGGTGTTATTCCATCCCGACTTCAGCTTTTTAATATCACTGATGTTTTTAAGCAGCTCTGGGGCAGTTTGGGACCACTCATGTCCCTGCATAGACTGATTTCACACACAGGAGTGAAAACTTATCCATACACCTCTTAGGACTCCCAGACTGGTTCCTCCTCCTCCATCACTGGAGGGACAGCATCATGTGCAGTGGGCTCCTCTTCCTCTCCTTCAGCCTCAGATCCCCCTCACTAACCAGGATTGGAGTCAGGATTTGGAACTGAGTGGATTCTGAGGAAAAACAAAACAGCATTTCTGCTCACCCTCAGATCTCACTACACATCTTGGTTTTGATCTTCAGGCTTTGGAATTGGAAACAGTCAGACAAGGAAGATAAATCTGTCAATCGGTGGATCAGAACTTGCCAGGCAGTATAGAGCAGGACTGTTAAAAAAATAAAATTTACAGAGAAAAAGGGATAGGATGATTGCTGAAGGATTTGTACAGATGAGGACCTGTTCCCCAGAAAGCAAAGCAAGCAGCTATTGGGAACGGCTTCACAAGCTCTGAAAACACAGCCATGTACAGAAGCAGTCAGCATTGCACAAGGAAGGAGGGTTGGGGCCAGGTTTTTTTCACCCCTATTTCCCAGTGCTGACAAAGCCCCATTCCTGGCAGCACGGGATGCAGGTCAGCAGCTCCTGCCTCTGCACAGCCCATGGCACTGCTTGTGTTCACTGCACAGGGAACAAACCCAAGTGCTCAGCCAACAACAGCACCATTTCAGGAGCAGTTCACCTTGTGCTGCCTTCCATCCCAACACACTCTTACAGAGCTGGTGAATTAAGTAATGCCATTACATAATAGAATCACTGAATATAGAATGGCTTGGTTGGAAGGGATCTTCACGACCATCCAGTTCCAACCTCCTGCTGTAGGGAAGGACTCCTCCCTCTAGACCAGGCTGCTCACAGCGCCATCCAGCCTGGCCTTGAGTGCTTCCAGGGAGGGGGCATTCCTCATAACAAATGCCTGTACATAGAACAGATGCTGTTTCTGGGAGTAGGACTCAAGGATCCTTACAGGTCTCTTCCAGATTGGGATATTCCATGATTCTGTGATTCTAAGCAAAGTGTTGTACAGAAAGTAATCCCAAAAAGAACACCAAAACAACCAACAAAAAACTGAGACTTGAACCAGACTTTAAGTTTTTACTGCAAAGCGTGGATTATTCTGCTTGCTCAGTCCTAAGCAGACTCTTCAAAATGAATTGTATGCTGCCTTGCTTACTCCATTCGGTCAGAATCAGACTCCTATATATGTTTTATAGTACAGTTTATTCCCAAAGATGGTGATAACCTCTCATTACCCCAAAGCTCTTAAAAAATTCCTTAATGAAAAAGTTGAGAAATCTGCTGTTTGGAAACGCTCCTTACCTACCATATATATCTGAACTAAAAGGATTGATTTGAGGGGGAAAGAAAGGGGGAAAAGATGAATGTGGTGCCCATACCTATTTCCCAATATTTTCAGATTATAGACATAGAGAGATAGGGAATTAGCAACAGTGCAGGAGAATGGGCTGCAATGATGCTGCAAAACATAAGCAGGAATTGAGGGCTGTTCACTCCTGCTATGCTTCTACACTGCACACTGCTTTCAGGGCTCCCAGTAGTACCTATCAGCAGCAGCCAAGCTTTTCTGTTTTAATTTAATTTCATTTAATTTCTACCAACAAATTCTACCCTGTGGTGAGAACTGACAGCATCATGTGGAGAACCACTAAGGACGCTTTGGATTGCTTTTACAATGTGAGTATATACATTACGACAAAATAAATCCCCCACCCTCCTCGGCTTTCGTTAGACAAGCCATATCAGAATAGGAGTGGGGCAGGCAGCTCACTGCCTGTGGGTGGGAGATGCAGCAGAACATGCCTTTGCATCACGCTGCCAGCAGGGCTCTGCCCCAAGACCCCGGGGCTCCACCACCATGGTTCTGGCAGCATTGGTGGCGTCCCCCAGTTAGAACTGGGACAGAATGAGATCTTTAGTGCTGCTTCTGTAGTGAGACTACTGTGGCTGGTTCCATGCTTCTCTGACTGCTTGCAGTTCTCCAAGAACATCACACCTCAAACAGCTTCATCGTGGTGTAGACTTGGGCTCTACTGGGAACTCCTACTGGGAATTTCCCCGCTGGGAATTCTGCCATGGATTTCAAAGGAAACAGGATGATAACATCCTTCATTGATAGAGGCTTTCCTGCCACAACTTTCAGGCCCCAGTCCTGCAAGTGCAAGCGCAGGCAAGCACTCGTTCAGCACTAAACACTAAGGTCCTTCAGAGCATTGAGCTGGGGCAGCAAGCGGTGGCACAGACAGCTCTGCTTGTGGAGCAGCGCCGCTGGCTGAGAGCATCACAGTGCTGATATCAGCATTTCCTACCAAATGCTACCTACTGCATTACCTGCTAATTTCCTACCAAATCTTCCTACTGCAACACCAGTGGGGGGCTGCTGGGCAGGGGTGGCCATCCCCCAGCAGTGCAGCCATCACCTGCTGGGCTGGACCAATGGCATCCCTCAGAACTGCTCAGCTGGCACGCATCCTCCGGGACACTGCCAGTGTTGGCATCTCTCTGATAAATGTTGAAAGGGGATGGTTTGGGCCAAGAGGGGAACAAGGGGCTGCAAGACTGCTGTGGGCTATGAAATGCTGCCTGGTGAGGGATGTGGGGGTCTTCAGATTCTGGATACCAATGTTGGGCAGGGCCCTGCGTTCCCTTGGAGCTGGAGTGTTGCTTGGACAAGGAAGTAAAACAGGTCACTGCTCTTTTCTTTCCCTGCCCAGAAGAGGAGAGGAGGTGGTAGGAACTGTTTTCACTGCCCAGCACAAAGTTGATGGAGTGTGGTAATTCAGCACCAATATAGACCAGAAGATCCGGACCAAGGGAATGGGCCATTTTGTGATCAAGAGTGAACATCCTATGTATCTGGGGGAAATCCCTCAGCAAAGCCATCTTGAACACGGTGACTGTTCCAGGTCCCTGCTGAAAATCACAGCCCAGACTAAACAGACCATCACTTCTGGTTAAAGTATCCCAGATGAAAAGATAGATTGTTAAAAAAAATGCTTTGAACACTGTTTTCTCCAAAAAATCATTACCTCCTTCAACTTCTCAACAAGTATGAGCCTCCCAGCTTTCCTGCCTCCTCTGGAATCATTTGGTCATCGCAGACATCAAAACTAATGAAGAGTTGAAAGACTGAGTAGAAAGGCAAAATCTTACTGGAAAATATTTCTTAATATGAAAAGCTATTCAAGAATATATCTAGCAGAATAATAAACAACTGCAAGCTTCCCAGTGCCTAGAAGAACACAAGTGAAGGAGGGCAATGGGCTTTGGGTTTACTTCCCTGTTTAAAACACCAATTCATTTTACAAAGTGTGTGCTTCCATGTGCCCTCCAGGTTTCAAATGAGTGAGATTTCCAACCCCTACATTTTAGCAATGCCCCAAACTCAGCGGTGAGCCAAACGTGGCCACTTCAGAAAGAGGGACTCTCTTTGCTTCTCACTTTTTCTGCTGGGACAATGGTGGGATCCCTGCTGCAAGCAATGACCTTTGCTTGCCATCCCCCCAGGTGGATGGGCTGCCTTAAGATGCCCTTCTGTGTGCCCACCCATGGGCACTCTGCTGAACTGGCACTGAAAGATGGAAGAATGGTTATGGGTAACCTGGAGCTGACTTTCTATGAATACAAGGGATGAGAAAAGCTGTCTGGGGGTCAAAATAAAATAAATACACACTCAAAATTACTGCTCTGCACAACATAGCAGGAAACAAAGATGTCTAGCTTCTTTGCAATACAGACCATAATTCCTCCCTGGTGGTGGTTTTCAGCTGATGCAAACATAGGAGAAGAGCTTGTAACCCATAGCTCAATAGTCCACAACACTCCTGATAAAGAAATACCTTTACAAGAGTCTTTCTGGTGGAAAAACTGTTTGTCAGAAGCTTTCTTTTAAGCAGTCCCAAAACAGATGCTCCCTTGATCTTACCTTCATAGGTATGCATAGGATGACCTCTTGGCAACTGAAAAAGTCTAACAAAAAACAAAAGTAACTTGTATATGGGATCCTTTAACACTCCCGTATCGCTGGTAATAGAAGAGAAATCAATATTAGTTCCAATATGAATGGAGTGTTGGATTGACTGAACAGGGAGCTTTGAAATAAATATCTAAGAAATGTTTGGATGAAATGGACATCTTTACAGACATTTGGTCTGCATTTCTGAAATGCAGATGATTAAATCCATATTGTTGGCTTCTTCCCCCTCTGCACTATGTCTTTCTTTACATCTTGCAAAAAATTTATGAACAAAGTTATTGTAAATCTGCAATGTCTGTCTTGTCACTTAGATTCTTTTCAGAAATGCTGCCTTGCCAATGTAGACATACAATCCTGTATGATTAATATTTATTACTTATAATTCTAAATACAATGGAAGGTCACTGAAAATACCCTGCCTAAAGGAGTCTGGAGCCCCTTAAAATCTTGATGGTGATGGATCCCGAGTCAGGAGTACTGAGCTCAAATTCAGTATGTGTAGGACTCAAACTTTTCTATATAGGATTTCCAGTGTTTCCTGCTTCTGCCTATGGCACAAAGCACAAAGGTGAGCAGAAGTTACAGACCTGGCAGCATGAACCTGCAAACCCAATGGTCAGGCAATGCTCGAACCTGTCCATGATCCTGGATCAGCCTATAACAAAGCGACGAACACAGTGCACAGTTAGGATGCAGAGCCAGACGTGGATTCCCCCAGAATGGGCATTACAGCTGGTGGAAAACCAGTTTCATTTCTTACCTCTTATTCCTTCTCATATCTATCAATACATTTTGTCCAATTTTTTTTTTTTTTCTCTTTGCAGTGTTGCTGAGAAAGTGAAAATATTTTGATTTGGCATTGCCAATTAAAATTGAGGTAGTGAGGGGGCTTTCAGTTTCCTAATCAAATCGAAAAAGGATTTTAAGAACATCTAACCAAAAACTCATTGCACCAACAGCTCATTTTCCTTCTGCTATGAGCCCACCCATTTCTAAACATCATTTTTTAAAAAGCAGATGCAACTTGAGGCGTGCTGAGACTAAATGATGGTGATTTGGCCCTCTTCTAGCAAAACCAAAGTCAGACAGGTAGAACGTTTCAGAAGCATAGGATTCAGGAATGAAGGTTCAGAGATGGCCAAAATCAGGGCAGATGCTGGCTGCCTCACTCACCCTACTCAGCTGCAGGTGAGCACTGCCTTCTGTAAGGAGCTTACCACAGTGAGCACAGAACAAGAGCTGCGTCTGACCCTGCGCCTTCATCCCAACATCACTGCCACTATGCCACCAGCTGCGTGCAAACCTGGCCAACAGCAACTGCAAAAAGCTGCTCCTGGCCAAGGGGTGCTGCCAGCCAAAATCCAGCCCAGAGGCTGTTCATCACACAGCAGCTTCTCCCTAACAAATGAGATCACACGGTGCTGATAACACCACCCTGAGCGGCGCGCTGAGCGCAAACCAAAAGCAAGAGGCGGGCAGAAAGGACCGAGTGGATCAGAATAAATAAATAAATAGTCGCCTCAATCTAGAACTAAAAAAATAAAGTAAAATCACAAGTAATTCCAAACTCGTGAAGAAGTGTTGCTTTTTTGTTTGTTTGTTTGTTTTTAACGAGCCACATGTGCCTGTGCAGACACTGCTAAGCTCCTGAGGCTTTGCTGGCTGCTATCAGCACTGTCTGAGCCAGCTGATTTTGTGCAGCCTTTGCCCCCCAATCCAGCCACTTCTAACATAGCCCCTTTCAGGGGAAGGCCTGGGAGTTCTGAGGTTTTGGAAAGCTCAAAACAAACTGATCACTGCGTGCAAAACAATAGTCAGCAACAAGCAAACTGCATCCTGCTCCCAGCTGGGTGAGCGTGAAAAGGGGAAAAATCTCATCAGATATTCATCACTGTCATGCAGCGATGGCTGTGGATCCATCTCTTGGCTCTCAGGCTGCAGACAGCTCACTGCAGGGTTCCCCTGGCCTCAGCCCACCACCCCCAGGCTCCCCTCAGTCAGGGCTCAGCCCTGAACACAAGGAGAGCTATGCCAGCCAAGAGCTCAGCTTTTGTTTGTCTTCAAATAGTCCCAAACTGAAATGTTTCATGTTCACCATCATACATGTGAGTTTTATGCAAAAGGGCTGTCGTTCTGGATTTACTAAAGTAATGTGCACGTAATCACTACTTTAAAGCAAATTGTGTCAGGCAGATGTTCCAGATTGAATGCAATAATCGCTTTCAGAAAACAATCCTGAATCATTTAACCTGGACTGGTGAACCTTGGAGGAGCAGGACTAAGGCAGCATGCAGGCTTCCTCCTCGCCTGCTCACCAGCTTTCAGGCTGGAAATGGGTCTCTCTGTCCCCTTTTCAGAGCACGCTGCTCCCTGGGCTGGATGATGGCTGCTTGAAGGCAACCCATCTGGAGCCCAAAGCTTGTTCCTGCCTAGCCACGCTTCCCAAGATAGCAGCAGAAAGGAACTGGCAGCCACAGAGCCAGGATGACAATGTTCTGCATGGTTTGGTCAGCTGAGCCAGTTTGGGCTGTGGGCTTGACTCAATGTATTGCCCCATCACTGCTGTCTCTCCCAAATGTCAGATCCACTGGCCATTTTGACATCAGCCTCTTCCAAGGCTTCCTGCTCAACTGCCCATTCGATCTCTTTTGCTTTGCACCTCTAGATCCAGCGGCATCATACAAATTTCATGCAAAGCAGCATCTGCAAGTCTGACATTTGCTTAGGCTTTCCCCTCTTGTGCCAAGTTAAAAATAAATGTCCTACAAACTCTTGGGTCTTCTAAGGCAGAAAAATGCTTTCAGAGAAGTTTAAAAATATAACTGCTAAGAGCGTTACTCCTCTAGGGTCAAACTCTTTCCTTTTGCCTCTCTCACAAATTTTGTTCCTTCCTCACAGGTTTCAATAGCAATGGGAAAACAAAGTGCCCTTGAAATAATCAGCAGATTATATAGAAGCAGTTCTATGTGTTCCTGACTGACTTGCTTGAAATTTAAGCTAACATACTACTGTTAAAACTCCAAAGAAAACAGGTGGTGATATACCCCAACACAAAACAAGAAACTAATACAGTGGAGTCATTTCCAATACTGATTATGAGTAATACTAGTTGTGTCAGATCGTAGGTTCAGATTTCAAAGGGTCTCCACTCCCTACACTAGAGCTACCTTCTCCTTCCTCCAGGGAGAAGCACGTTTGTCCCTGACCACTACTCTTGAACAGGTGAAATCATAGGGATGCCAGCCAGATAGATAACGATAAGGTATATCTTAAGGCAACAAGGAGAAGAGTCTGCAAAACAGGAATCTGTCAGGGATGCTGAGCCACTGCTGGGGTCAGTTAGGGCTTGCTGAGCCGTTTGGCCACATCTGCATAGGCTTGCTCAATTTCTTTGTCTGCTGCACAGGTGTTAGTGAACTCATCCCTGGCGTACGCGTTCTTCAGGTACCGCCACAGCCCCGTCATCTCTGTTGGGAACTCGAAGTTGCGGTACTTCTTAGCAACAATCTAAACCAAAGAGAAAAGAGGAAAACAAAGAAAGCATCTGTTGGTGATACATCTCCTGATGGCGTTTCAGAGAGCTTCTTACTCTTTCTTGTAGTGTAATTAACAGCAAAGGAGACGAACAGGTGATCGGACACCAGAACAGGTTGTCCAGAGGAGCTGTGTGTTCCATCATTTGAAGTATTGGGTTGGACAGGGCTTTGAGTAACCTGATCTAGTGGAATATGTCTCTGCCCACAATCTTTAATCATCCCTTCCAACCCAAACCATTCTGTAATTCTATTTTCTTTTAAATTCTTGGGGACACTTGGACTTAGAATAGAACATCTTGAAAGGGCCCACTGGTGATCCCACGCCTTGCAAGGACACCATCTGGCCTAAGGGCACTTCAATACAATTGCCTGGCAACTATCACCAAATTGTGCATTTTAAGGCACATAAAGTTCATTAATTTTACTACTATTTTCTGGTGTTTTCCACCAGTCCTATGCATATCACTTCTTAACAGTGAGATGCCAAATAAGAGATCTTATAGCTGAATCAAAAATATATAGATTTAGGGGAAAGGCATTAGTAACAGTTAATATGTAATGCATTTTAAAACTGAGTACCATATTCAACATATTACATTAGGTATTTACTATTTTTTTTTTTTTTTAACATATGTAATATATTTTATTTGGCCAACAAAGTCAGAAGACATAACTGCCTACAGCTGTTGGAAGGCTGTGTCCTTGTTCTCACAAAGGAAAGATTTGGCACGGTATGGGTACCACGATCGAGGAACCAAGACGATTTAGCAGACATTAGAAACAGGACTATTAGCATAAGCTGGAGAAAGAAAATGGTTATTTCAAGAGTTGTTAGACTCGGAAATTGTCCATCAAGGGAAATTCTCAATTTCTAAAAATTTCAGGCCCTTATTCAGCAAAATATTTAAGTGCATACTTAATTTTAAGCACCTGTATGGTCCCATTGAAGTCCAAGGGACTAATCTGTGTTTAAAGCTAGCTGGTTGGTTAAGCAGCTTGCTGGATTGGGATATTTCAGTTTCCCTGTAAGAACACACCATACAGAATAATCCTGTGGTGACAGAATGAACTAGCTGATAGGAAGGGACGGATTAGCTGATTTGATGAGTGCTTCCAATCTCTAATTTTTCTGACAGTATAAAATTGTTCCTGAGCATAAATTACATACATATGTGGCACAGAGTTCCCCTTTATTTTAAAAGCACATGGTAGAGCTGTTTTCCATCTCAGCTTTTGCAGGACAGTCATGTTCTCAGAAATGACTATGACTTGATTTGCTTTTATTACCAGGATCCACTTGGTATATGTAACGCCTCATCCTGTCTTAAACTGCATTCAATTAAGCATTCTTGCTTTCAATGATGTTTCACACACACATGGGGAAGATAAAACCTGCTGGGCAACTCAAGTCAAGATTTTCACAATTTCCAGCACACATCTTTCATCAAGTGAAAAACTCCTGATAATTTACCCTTTTCTTACATCTGTAAAATGCTTTTCAGATAATATCCTGTGGTTACGCCTGTCTGAGAAATATTTTAGTTCTCGTTTGACTTCTTTCATTTTGTCACAGTGAAACAGGAACCATTTGATTTTGCATTGTGTGAATCCAGAGTCACCAATCAAGACGAGCCAAAGAAGGAGCTAAAGTTGTGAGGATGTTATTGCAGTTCTCACCTGGTGACTTACACACTTGTATCTATCTTACTGCATGTGTGCCTTCAGCTCCTAGGCTCAGTTTATGTTTTGGCTCACAGAGCCAAATTAGATGCATGTCTTGGTTTTAATTACTAGTTTTCTTGCTTGCCAAGGTCTGCCAGGTACTTGCTTTATCCTAAAGAAAGATGCAGTCCGATAAATGAAATAAATGAAACATTTAGAAGGCAAGATGATGCACATCACTTGCGCTGTACCAGCAACTACTGTGTATCTTACATCCTGGACCTCAGCTGTGACATTGATTTGTTAATTTCTCTGTGTGAAACACCAGCTGGAACAAATACTGCCCCCAAAGACAGACTGTCTCTCTTAAGTCACAAGTGGGTGGGAACTGACTGAAGTTTTGACATCTCTCTTAAGAATAATGGGAAGTAATTAATATGAAAGATGACTTTTACCAGCAGCAGTGTAAAAGCAAAGAAAAAGGACACCCAAATCTCAACGCTGTCTTTGCTACTGGTGGGACAATTTTCCCACGTACCAAATACAAAATGGTTTAAGTTAACTTACAGGAAATTCTGAGAAGAATATGTGTCAAACCCTGTTTCCTTAGCACTTAAGATACCTCTGCTGAAAAGCCTGTTGGCTTGACACTTGGCTGCTGGACCAATGGAAGGGACTTCACTCTGTGCATTTCATATATCACTCACTTGCTTATCCATGAGAGGGAGTGTGTGAATACTGTAAATAGTGTGTAAATACATATGTGTTAGCCTACCATGTAGCACAAACACTCAAAATGTTTGAACCAGAGCACTTCCCTATCAAATAAGTCTTCTTTGTCCATCACATGACATCTTTTACCTTGACAACATGGAGTTTGGGCAGAAGGTTGCAGTCAGCAAGGGTGAGGTCATCTCCATCCAGAAACTTGCGTTTGGACACCTTCTCTTCTTCAGTGCTGTTTGCATCAATCTCCTCTGGCAGAGGGGTTCTCAGATAGTCATCCAGCTTCTTCAGAGCCTTCACCAAACCTCTTTCAAGGGCTGTGCCAAAATGTAAAGAGTGAGTGGCCAGAAAGAATTTAGAAACATTCACTGTCAATGGCTATTAAACAAAAGCAATGTAACAAAATCAAAAATCAAAGCTACTCAAAACAGGCGAGATATTCAGGGACTGTTAAGATTCTTCTTACTTCAGGTTCATTTAGGTGCAGATTCTCATTCTGATATGTCTCAGATGGAGTGCCACAGTGGAGATAAGTCTTGGGCCTTCAACTGTGAAAGACCTTGTCCCACACTGCTGCTGGCTTCAAGGAACTGAAGATGTAAAATTCCGCTTAGATATGACGCAAAGCAAAGAGCAAAGTTTTTACTTGAAAACATCGACCTGGGGCACAGACTTTGCGTTCTTACACTTTACCTGCAGGTTAGTAGAAAAATGTGATTCCAACAATGTACTTATAGAAAACTGGATGACTGTGCACACATTTGCATGTTATTTGAACTGCAGAGCCTCCAGGGCAAGAAGGATCTTTTGCATCTCTGAAGGGGGACAAGCACGATGTGGTCCCGGCCCCTGACAAGTGCCTCACAGTGCTAAAGCAATATAAATAAGAAACAGCGAGAATTTACAATGTGAAAAAATAACAACATGACTCACGGGCTGCGGGCCAGAATTTCAGCTGGTGAAAATTACCTGCAGTGATTTATACCTGCTGCAGATCTGGCCTGGAGTCAGCGTTTAAGGCCTAATCCTGTAAGATCTTTTATCTCTGAGTAACTTATTGCCATTTAACTTCAGGGAGACTGCTCAGTGCGTCAGGTGACTCACGTGGCGTGGCACTACACTACAAAGCCTCGGGAGATAAATGCATTCATGGAGCACAGCTTGAGCTTCAACAGGCAGCAGCGATCATCCAGGACAGCTCTGGCACCTGCAGCTCTGCTGGCTCTGCTGTGCTGCTGGCAGGGAGGGATGGGCGGTGTGCACAGGGCCACGGAAAGAGCAGGAGCCGAGCTCCACGGAACGTGACTTCTCTGCAGCCCTGACATCCACTAAGCCTTGTGCCAGTGGTGGAGGACGGATTAAGCCACCTGATGCCTCGCTCCCTCTGAAGCCTCTTAGCCAAGCACCAGGGAACCGTAGCAGCTCTGTTGTGGCTGACTCTCAGACACAGTGGCAAATCCTGGCTTAATTGATTGACTGGAGGAGTGACTGCGATCCAACTGAAAACATCCCAGCAAACGGAGCGGGGAGGGAAAGAATTTTATTTCTGAAAGCAGAGCAACTAAAGCGACTGAAGTGCTGCCATCCATAAAACAAAAGCGTTGCCATCCCTTATTTAATCAATTTAAATTGAATTTTGACACTGACTTTCTGCTGTCAGATCCCGGCAGTGGTGCCTTTAATCATCTGCAGCTGTGCTCTGCCACACGGCTTCTGCCGAAGGGCGGTGATTTCCTGCTGCGCAATGCTACCCCACGTGGCAACGCTTGGAAGGTTAGCAATCTCTCCTTGGTTTGACCCATCACACCTGCTGAATGGAGAGCTCTCTGTCTCTCGGTCAGCCCCACGCTATATCCTCTTGCAACGAATTCATTTAGAGACAATGGAATCAAATTACTGTGATTTAATCCAATTTTGCCCATTTGGATTTTAGAAAATTGGCTTAACGCTGACTATTTTCCAGCATCCCATTTACCCAGTGAGACCTACAGCTCTTTGAGGGATCCGTGCAATGTTCCCGGTGGAAGCGCGACACGAGCTGCCCTGCGCCATCCCATGGCTCAGCTGCACGTGTTTACAAAGCCAGGAGCAGCAGGTGACACGCATTTATGTAAGTTTTTCTGGAACTTATTAGGGATGTGTTGTTTTCTTTTCTCACTGATACACCAAAGTGCGTCATGGTTGTCTCAAAAACAATGCCTGGAGTGGAGCCTGTGTGTGACAGTGGGAAAAACATCTATCTGAATTCATTTGGCGCTTGCATGCAACTGCTTTAGGCCAGAAATAAGCATATGTGCAGGGTTCAACATGTCTGAGACCTAACTCCAGGCTCTGTTGGGCCCATGGGATCCCAAGATCTCCCACTGAAGTCACTATAAGGTGGGACCACCTCAGACTCTGATCATCAGTTCAGACCCTGATTAATTAATACTCCTCCGGTACTGGTGAAGCTCCCAGAACAACTAGGAAAGAGAGGAGCAGTGAATAAGGGAGAGCTGTCTTTCTTCCAATTGGTCAGTGATGGAATTCTGAAAAGTCAAGAGAACGAACAACCTAAAATTATAATTTCATATAGAGCTTAGGTGTACAAGGCCTACATCTTTTAAAATCATGTTTAGAAAAATAAATAAGTGGGAGAAGAATTGTACTTTTAACAACGTTGTAGGGAGACAATTTTTATGGGAAGTGGAAGGCTGAGCTTCAAATGCCTTTTCGAGGTGATCAAACCAGGTCTCCCAGATAAAATCCCACCAGTGGAGCACAGAGTAATCTGTATGGCTTTCCTATTGGACTATTTCCCTTTTCATAAATAATTTTAGCAGATCACCACAGAAAGCTGAAACCATGGGTAAACACCTTAAAAAATTAGCTCTCATTTGCTCTCTTATCTGTTCAATGTTTAAGAAAATCCATTAACAGTAAAAAAAGTATGAGCAGAGACTGAGAAACAACATTCTTAGAAAAACCTACATCTCTGAAGGTTCTGGAACCCTTGCTGAGTGACCTGTTGTCTGGGTTCATATTGAGATCAAACCAAGCAGAAGAAGCTCTTCACAAAACTATGAATGGCTTGGGTTGGAGAGGACCTTAAAAGATCACGCAGTCCCACCCCCTGCCATGGGCTGGGTGCCCCCAGCTCAGGCTGCCCAGGGTCCATCCATGGCCTCAGGCACCTCCAGAAATGGGGCACCACAGCTCTGGGCATCAATGAGGCTCACCACCCTCTCAGTAAAAAATTTCTGTCTAATGTGTCCTAAATTTCTCCCTTGTATAGTTTTTTAGTCTAAAGCCATTCCATGCTGTCCTATCACTATCAGACTGTAAAACATCACTCCCCCTCCTGCTGATGAGCTCCTCATCACTGGAAGGCCGCAGTGAGGTCTCCCCACAGCCTTCCCTTCTCCAGGCTGAACACCCCCAGCTCCCTCAGCCTTTCTCCATACAGAGCTGCTCTCAGCACCCTCCTGGCCCCCCTCTGGCCCTGCTCCCACAGCCCCACATCCCTCCTGTGCTGGGAGCCCCAGGCCTGGATGCAGCACTGCAGCCTGACAAGGGGCAGAGCACAGGGGACAGCCCTCCCCGTTGTCCCCCCAACCTGATGCCACCCTCTGCTGATGCAGCCCAGGACAACAACAGCATTCTGAGCTGCAAGGTCACACTGCTGGCTCACGCTCAGCTTTTTTATCCATCAAGACCCCCAAGTCCTTCTCTGCAGTGCTGCTCTCTATGAGTTCTTCTCAGTCTGTACTTGCATCTGTGATTCTCAACCCCAGTCCCTTAGATTCTCTTGTGATCACTTTTAGAGCATCTCCAGGTCCCTCTGGATGACATCCCTCCCTTCTTTTGTGTCAGCTGCTCCACTGAATTTGGTGTCATCAAGGAAGTTGCTGAAAGTACACTCAATCCCACTGTCTATGTCACTGATAAAGATGTTGAAGACTACTGGTCCCAAGGCAGACTCCTTGGGGACACTGATCATCACCAGCCTCCACCTGGACATAGAGCCATTGACAGCAGCTCTCTGGCTACAAACATTCAATCAATTCTTTATCCACTGAACAGTCCATCTTTCAAATCCGTCTCTCTCCAATTTAGAGATAAAGATGTGGTGCAGGATCACACCCAAAGCCTTGCACAAGTCCACATAGATGACAGCGTCCTCCCTTTATCCACTGATGTCATCACTTCAACACAGAAGGCCATCAGACTGGTCAAGTACAGTCTCCTTGGTGAAGCCATGGTCTTGAAGCTGCAGTGAAGCTGTGCTGGCTGTCACAGATCACCACCTCGTATCACCTCTGAACCTCCCACAGCATGGCTATTTTGTGAAAATCTGGATGACTTGGCATGTTGCCTCTGTTGAGAACACAGGGAGCAGCAGGCTCTCACTGGGACATTGTGAATACCACACACAACAACAGACTGAAGGAAGACATTTAAAAAGATGCGACCTACTAAAAGGTGCAATTTTCCTTTTGCCAATATAGTACACATAATAAAGTTTGAAAGTTGCTACACAGCTATTGCCCTTTATAACTTATCCTCATGGTAACATCATTAAATAACAGGTTTGTTGATACGAGCAGGAGCTCAACTGCACGTCAGTCACTGGGATTAATCTTCCCTACAGTGTATAAATTAAATGAACTGTTTTGAATTAAACACACTGAGCTTCCTCTGTATCCAGAGGTATCTTCTCTACTGCACTTGGTTTGCATGACCTGAAGTCAGTTGTATGGAGAACTTTTCCTGAAGCATCTAATAGCCTCGCATTGTGCTGGTAATGTCAGGGTGGAGTATTCAGTATTACAACACCAAGTGGAACTATGCCTGAGAATGTTGCTCTGTGCTGCTTTTGAAATTTCCACCTCCAATTGCTTTCCCACCCTGCAGACTTGCAGTATGAACTTAGAGAACCCAAATGTGGCCCAGCCCTGTATGAGGACTGCTGTCATCAGGTTTTCAATGCAAGATCTGCAGAAGTCTGAACTCACACAAACTGTCCAGAGAAATCACTGAGCACAAATGCACCAGAACTATTTTGCCTCCCTCCATACTGATATATTTAATATAAAGATAACCTCAAATTCCAACAAGTTCTATCCATATATATTTAAAATCCATGGTGCAATCATCTCTCTCAGGCTTCACAGCTGTGTCCTGGGCTATTTAGGCAAAGACAACTTACATCAATCACAGCCTGTTGTGTCCCCCCACCAACAATGAACAAATAATATCAGTAAAAATAACTCACAAGTTCTTTGTGACATCCCTTCCCTACTCAAAACTATACCTTTATACAACTTTCCTTAAGAAT